CGGATTGGGGGAGGGGGGTTGTCACTTCGAGGGGTAAAAAGTATAACTATTGCACTGTGTTGTACAGCTGAAACTAATTCTAAAAAAAACGTGTATTTCACAATAAAAAATAATAATTAAAAAAGAAAAACCTACAGTGTGCTACGTACCATGGCAAACAATGGGATATGAGGATGGAGTGATTAAAAAACTAACATTGTGCTGCCCTTCAAAATCTTATACTGTAATAAAGAAATCAGACTCTTATTGAATAGAGTGTAATACATGTTACAAAAGATAACTGTAGGGTGTTAAGGGAGAGAAATACATTTTAATTTTCATTCTTGTTGTTCAGATTGTTCCCAGATTGGCTACCTTGGAGTCTACCAGTTTTGCTGAAGTTCTGTTAAACTTGAAATTTCTTAGAGAATTAACACTCGATTCCCAAATAAAAGTTCCAGAACAAGAAATTACATCTTATATTGTGATAAGCAAAGACTAATTTGGATCTCTTCTCCTCTCTCCTTTCTCTCTACCTCTCTCGCAGCCTGAAGTTATGGATCAAATACAAAATTTAAGAGAGTTGTGGATGGATAATAATGCATTGCAAGTGCTACCTGGGGTATGTAAGTTTTTATTACACCATGTTGTCTAGCATCTATGTTATATATTAATTGTAATTGATGATAATCTTAAATTTTGATATTTGTATTTCAAAGTAACACATTTGTTAGGAGTATTCAGTCACCAAGTTTTTTTCACTGGTTTGTTTGAGTAGTTCATATAACCTTTTGTGAGTGTTATCAGGTATATAAAGTGTATGAAAGATTTTTCTTGTTCTCTTAAAAGGATATTTATTTTCTCTTTCCACATTTACTGTATTTTAAAAGCTAAAAATTTTATATTGCTATATTTTGAAACAAGAAATGCTATATATAATATCAAGTCTTAGTTTTGCAAAATCAACCTTAATCTTTTAGGTACTAGATAATGGTTTCTGTTCATATTGTTAGATCTCTTCCAAAATATTAAAATCTCTCAGGTGATTTTTAGTAAAACATTTGAATTTTTGAAAATGGCAAGCATCATAAGGTGCAGAAAGTTAAACTAGAGTAAAAATTTTTCCTTAACTAATGGACAGTCCAGTATCTTGAGTAATGGGTTTACCAATCATTTCATGTAGTGTGACTATTCCTGCTTTTTCCATCCCATGAAAGAATGACTTCCATAAAACACTGCCTTTTGTCACTCATACCACATGCACTCAAATAAGCATGTGTACACACACACACACACACACACACACACACACACACACAAACACACAGCAACTACTAGGGTTGAGCCATCTCCAAACTCCTTGCATTAGGCTAAACAGCCAGGACAGCTGGATTTGTAATAATTCTTCAGCCACTGAGATTTAGATGTGTCTTCCCAAAGCAAATTTTATTCCTCTTTTGAATTGATATTAAAAACTTATTAAAATGATTGCAAAAGCAACAAGAACAAGAAGCTTATTCTCTTTTGAACAAGCATGAGGCCACATAAAGGAGACTATCTGACAAAAGGCTAGGGGGAAAATGCTTTCTTTTCTTATCAAAAAAATACATTCTGCTGTCATCAGAGACACAAAACAGAAAAGCATGCATATCTTCTATTTATTGATTTATTCAAAAGCCATTTACAACTATACCTGTCTGAACCAGAAACCATGCTAATGTCAGAGTTACAGAGATAATATATTCAATGCCCTTGAATATATTTGTTTGAGGGGCTTAAACATAACAGGAGAGAAAGATCTGCATCCCACTCTACATAGTAGAGTCTGATTTATGTCATATTCAAGGTATGTGCAAATCCTGGGGCAACACAGGTAAGATCCTCATCAATCCTCTGTGCAAGACTGAGGAATCAAAATATATGTCTCATTGGGAAAGTTTATAGATGCTTCTTCAATATATATATTTATTTAAAACCACTCACATAATATTTATCAGAGGCTAGGCACTATCTAAGTGTTTTATAAATACTGACTCATTGAGTCCTCAAAACAACTATGAAATTAGGTTTTTACCATCTCTGTGTTATAGATGAAGAAACTGAAACAGAAATAGTGAGTAACTAAGTAACTGGTAACTGGCCCAGGGTCATGCAGCCAATAAATGGCAGAACTGTAATTCCAACCAACCCCTGTTGTTCATTTCACTATGAGGCTCCAAAATGCTGTTGCTATAGCATCAGTAGAAGGTACAAATGAGAGGTTCATCTTATTTTTCACAATCGTCACATCCCCAAATCCAACCCTGCAAATAAACTCAGACCTCAAATTCCTTTGTAGTCTTATTATTTAAATGGAAAGGTATTATACAACAGAAGTATTGTATACAAGAAATCTATACAACAGAAGTGTTGTTTAATTTGTCTGTTTCAATGGTAGATTTTTCTCATATGCTGCCAAATTTAAGTAGATTTCTTACTTTAATTGGTACACTTGAATTTCACATTTTGCTGTACTCCTTGTGGGAATACCTCCCACCCCCCTGCCATAAACAGGCATCGTTTTCTGAGTGTTGGTGGCAGACAGTTATTAAGCAATCACCTAGACACACATGACTTGAATGTCATTAATCTTCAATGTGGTCTTCAGCCCATGTCTCACAATTTCACACAATGATTAACCCTAAATATTTAGTGTCATAAGACATAGGGAATAAACCAGTTTCATTTTATTATTAGTTCATGTATCATAATGCATTAAGTTAATATTCTTTTTAAGTACATTAAGAAGCCTGGGCTATCATTTATCCACTCAATTTTTCATAACTCTGAGAAGCAAATAGATAATGATCAAAAATTAGTCTTCTATATTGCCCTGTCTTGTGACCATCACTCTAAAATCAATCAACCAAAATATGATTAAGCAGTGTGTTGAATCCACATTTGTTTTTTTAAAAACTTTAATATCTTCTTGTGCTTGCGACAGCTTCTACTCTTCATTTGCTCTTCACTGTTTGCCTATAGGCTCCACTATGTCCAGAGCGATGTTGGGACAACATTCAATATCCTCAAGGGCTCTGAGACATTGGGACTCAAAGGCCTTTGGTTCTCCAGGCTATTATTGTCTTTATAAGGTGTTTGAAAGTGAGGGTTTAGAAAAACTAAAAAATAAACACCAAAGAGTTATTTTCCTTCTAAAAAAAGATGTTTAGAAACTTCACACCAAAATATTGAGTTGTGCTGGAGAGAGTAATTAAAGAAGCTTCAGAGAAGAAAGAAATTTCCTCATGATAAAAAACAACAACAAAAAAAGCAAATACATACACACACATAAACACAAACATCATTTTTCCTTGCTTACCAGAAGAGAAGAATGAGCTAAGGCAACATAATAGTTCCTTGGAATAGAAAGCTATAAGTAATGTGACAGTGTTTTTCCAAGTGACATATTTCTAGGCATGGGGAGAAACTCAGCCCTCTGGCCTGACTCACCCAGAGTGCCCAGTTCCCAGTCTAACTATTCACCTGCTCCAAAACTGTGCTCACACCCTCTGTCCATAAGGGGAGCTGAGGGAGCAGAGCTGGAGATATGTGGGTTAATTTACTAGGGAGTTAGAGAGCAAGAAATGCCAGTATAATCAATAGGCTTTATAATGTATAATCCGATAAAGGTGAGTTTAAATTTTAGCCCCACCCCTTATTAATGGGGTAACGTTAGAATGTTACTTGTAGTAGACATTGACTATATCTCCCCAGCTTCTGGGAATGCTGCTTCCAGATCCCCAACCTCATCAGGAGTTATCTCAGCTGAAGAGAACCTCCTCGCCTAGGGTCACACCTCTAATTTGGGGGACTTCCATCCAATGACCAGTTAATGCAGGGATAGAAAGGCCTGGCCCCTTCACCTCTACTCAGGACAACTGCAGGGCAATCTCGGTTTCACTGTTTCTTGAAGGGTCTGCTGAGGACTTCCTCAAGACTTGATCACAACCCAACTTCTTATCTGCACAGTTCTTTCTTACTTACTTCTCTCTTTCCACTGGTATTGATCCTAAGAACACTCTCATAAACGTCTCTTTGTCTCTGCCTCTCAGGGAGGAACCCAATGTGTGGCATCCCTCCAACTCTAAGCTTTAATGTGTGTTCAAGTGTAGATTCTGATTCAGTAGGACTGGAGTGGATCTGAGATTCGAAATTTCTGACATGCTCCCAGGTGGTCCCAGTGCTGCTGGTCTGCAAAACACATTTTGAATAGCAAGAATATGAAGTATGAAATCAAATAATATGTATAAAGAATCTAACACAGTACCAAGTACTGTGCTTGTGTGTGTAATCAATTCATTTATTTATTTTTTTAGTTATACTTTGTCAAATAGGTAGAGACAATATAGTAAAGTATACACAGGTAGACCAGACAAACAGATAAACCACTGAACACTGATATGTGGGGGACATTTCTTTGCAAACCATACTCTTAAAGAAAAGGAAAATGAAGACTTTCATCTTGCTCTAAGTCCTGTAGTCCATGTCTCAGCTACGCAAGCACTGTTCACCCCTTGATTTTTCCTCCGTCCTCCTCAATCAGTTACTAATTCAGTCATTCCACTTCTGAATTTTTCTTGAGCCCATTCCCTCTTCATCCTCACTTCTGCTACATTAATTCAGGTCCCACTCATCCCCTCAGCGAAACTGCTTTCAGGTCTTTCTAATGAGTCTCTCTGGCTCCAGTCACAAATCTCTTCACAGTCCCCTGAAGTTATTATTTCAAAGCACTAATCTGATCATGTCATTCTCCATCTGAAAAGCCTGAAACAGCTTTTCTTGTCTATGAGATAGAGTTCACTTCTCCCCACATAACAGCTGGCTTCTTATAATCCTAACTTCATCATTATATTCTGTCACCTCGAATTTCCCACTCTCCTTCAGATACGCCATGCTTTTTCACACTTCTCTGTGAATGCATGTGCTGTTCTCTCTTCCAGGTACAATTTCTCCTCTTCTTGACAAGCAGTGTCTTCCAGGTAATTTGTAGCTATGCCACTGTGCTTCTATAGCACTCCATCCATGCTTTTTTTATTGCACATATCATAGGGTATTATAATTATTTGTTTGACAGTTTCCTTCACTACCATGAGCTCCTTGATGAGAAAGACTTTGCCTCATGACAAGTCTCTCCCATATTTGGCTGACTTATTCATTGTTGTTCTCCAGTATATAACACAAGCCCTGATACATAACAACAGATCCTCAAAAAAAAAAAAAAAACTGTTGAATGAACAAAATATTGAATCCACTTAGTATGGTTACAAAGTCCAAATCACAATTTAAAAACTTTCTTATGCATTTGAAATTGTAAGAATGAATATGTCAACATTGGATGTTTTGGTGGCAATTTTATTTATTTATTTATTTAATTCAGTGGCAACTTTGAGATTATTGTTGCATTTTCTTGTAACTCCTTATTGAGACATAATTAATATGCCATAACATTTACCCATTTAAAGTATACAATTCAATGGTTTTTAGAACACACAGAGTTGTACTACCCTCACCACAATCTAATTTTAGAACATTTCTTCTAAAAGAAACCCTGACGCCATTAGCAATTACTTTCATGTTCCCTTCCTTGCAGCTTCTAGAGACCTAATCTACTCTCTGTCTCTATAGATTTCCTTGATATCTTGTTATTATTATCTATGAGCGTACCCAGCAAGCAGAGTAATCATCAAATTACTTCACTTTGGGACATACTTTTTAACACTCTGAATTAGATGTGTCATATGTTCTGGAACTTATTAGATGCTTCTGAAAATTAAGTCACAACCTAGGTAGCCCGAGTGAAGAGAAGCTAGAAGACAAGGAAGTTTCCCAAATTTTCCTGGACATGTCATAAAAAGGAATCATACAGTAGGTAGTCTTTTGTGACTGGCATCTTTCACTGCGTATGTTTTCAGGGTTAATATACTTTGTAGCATGTATAAGACGCACCTTAATTTTGGGGCCCGAAATTTGAAAAAAAAGTAATACATGAAGTTATTGAACTCAAGTTTTATTCATCATAAAATTCATACAACTCCTCATCACTTTCGGGGAATGCAAGTAAAAAAATTACAACCACTGTATAAAACGAACCCAGTTTTCAGACCCCAAATTTTTCTAAAAAGTGTGCATCTTATACATGGGGAAATATGGTATTTTATTTCTTTTTATTGATAAATGATATTCCTACATATGGATATACCACATTTTATGTTTTTATTCATCAAATGACAGATATTTGGGTTGTTTGTACTTTTTGGCTATTGAGACTAATACTGCTTTGAACATTTGTGTTTTTGTGTAGACATATGTTTCATTACTGAGTATGTACCTAGTGATTACTGGATCATCTGGGAATTCTAGTTGAGCATTTTGAAGACTGCCAAGCTGTTTTCCAAAGTGGTTGCACAATTTTAAATTTCTACTAGCAATGTATGAGAGTTACGATTTCTCCACATTCTTCCCAACACTTGTTATTATTGTAGTTGCTTTTAAAATTAATTTTATAGTGTAGTTTCTACAACTTCAAAATGTCTTTCAAAAGTTTGTCAACTAACCCTGAGTTTATCCAATGTCATCAAGTCTATAGGGAAGTTAAAGATGCTGGTATACCTGGATATGTCGAAAAACAGAATAGAAACAGTTGACATGGACATTTCTGGATGTGAAGCCCTTGAGGACCTCTTACTGTCATCCAATATGTTGCAACAGTTGCCTGACTCTATAGGTGAGAATATATTTGGTCATGAATGTTTATGCAAATATACCATTTTCTTTCCTGACAGTACAGTTTGTCTGTAGATGTAGGGGATATACTGTTAACCTGATATTAATAAATTAGCAAGTTCATTTTTCAAAAGATAAAATACTGTTTTACCAATATCTTAAAATGAAATTGTAACTCCAATTGTCAAATTCAAGAAGGCTCCCCTATTAAAATGATTCTACTGAACTGATACATTTAAATTTTTTTCACATGTAAGTTGTAAAAAGGTTATTGTAAGGAGTATATATCTTAGATTTAAAGTAATTCAATAACCATATATGTATGTCTCCTTTTATTACTATCGAACACAGTAGCTTCTATCCACATAGTTTTGCTATATTCTATTTTTAATACTGTTGAAACATTGCTATCATCTAGGTATAACATAAAGATGTATAATAAATGTAAAGTATCTTTGTAGTTCTATTTTTTATTTTTTTATTTTTTTTACCTGTATCTATATTATATATTTTTTTTAGTTAAAGTTTATTGGGGTGACAATGGTTAGTAAAGTTACATAGGTTTCAAGTGTATAATTCTGTAATACATCATCTGTAATACATCATATATATATCATATTGTGTGTTCAGCACCCAGAATAGACCTATTATTTAAAAAAGACACATTGCCTTTTACGTGCTATTAAGATACATGAGGGCTGATAATTTGTCTGTTAGTATATATTAAGCACTCAATCCATCCTATTTAAATTTTATATGAGTAAAATTATGAAACAGTCTGATTTAAATAATAAGTAGATCTTTTTGTATAGATATCTTGCTATTATTATTTATGAGAGTACTCAGCAAGTAAGGTAATCATCAAATTACTTAACTTTGGGACATAGTTTTTAACACTCTGAATTAGATGTGTCATATGTTCTGGAACTTATTAAATGCTTCTGAAAATTAAGTCACAGCCTAGGTAGTCTGAGTGAAGAGAAGCTAGAAGACAAGGAAGGTGCCGAAACTTTCCTTCAGTATTCTATTGCTTCCATTTTCAGGCTAATAGAGAACACTAGTTTTAACAAAACAGGCTATGTAGCTTTTCATTCTAGATTTGATGACTTTTTAATTTATATAATCACATAATTTATAACAGAATTTCCCCAGTTTGCTCTATCATAAGTATATCTGCAAGCTTTATTAAACATTTCCACATTTCCAGGCTCTTTCTCTGAAAATTCTGATTCAGTAAGTTTGTGATAGGCCCTCTTATCTGTACTTTTTTAAGTATCCTAGGTAAAATTTATGATCAGGTAAGTTTAGGAAATACTGCTTTAGCATTAGAAGGTAAGGAAGTGTAATTGTTTTTTAAAAATAGCATCCTCTGGTGAAGATGACAGAAATGTTCATCTGGTCAAGCTAGCCATCTGGTTAAGGTTCACACCTCACATTCCTACTCAACCACCACTCCATACCTCTTGAAAGACATAATGAGAATAGAAAAATGACTTATAGTCAAAGAACATTTTGTCTGTTATTGCCTCCTTAGTGCCAAGAACTATGCCTGGTATATAATAAATGCTCCTTAAAGGTTCAGTAAATAAAATAATTTAGCAATGCTTAAGAAGTATGAACATCTATGTGAACCTAAGATAGAATGAAAACATAGCCATGGCCAGGACTGATGAACTCCAGACCACAAACAGCAGTGGCAGTCTTAGGTTCCTTTCCTGCAGTGAAAACAAATAAACAAACAAAGAAATAGGACCTTAAGCATAACAAGGGAACTCAAATTTACAGGGGATTGAGGAAGGGACCCTTTTTCTGTGAAGAGAGACTGAAAAACACCTGCCACTAATACGAATATGTGGAGCTAGGACAGAAGGCGAGAACATGTACAGATTCACTGCTGAAAACTGTGAAGTCACAAGCTGGTTTAGACTGGATTTGCAATGTCCACATGGAATAAGAACCCAGGTTGCTGATATAAGCCTGGCTCTGAACTCCAGAAACGTGGGCATCAGGTGGAGAGAACCATAAAACCACCAGACAGGTAGAGGTGAGCGTAGGTAATGAAAAAATATTCACCCTCACAAATGAGCGTGCAAATAAAAAATTTTAAGACTAGTTAATGTTGTTATGACAACCAAAAATTCAAACAAGTAGAAAAATTTACTCCAAGGGAAACTGAAGTTATTAAGCAATGTAAAATAAAGATTTGAAGTATGCATTAATCCTCAATTAGATAAAAGGCAGACTAACATTTGTAAAAATAATAACTCATAAAACAAAAACAGGAGCTAAGAATAGGTGGTTATTTAAAAAAAAAAAAACAAAGAAACAAACAAAGAAAAACAAAACAGAACCAATTAGAAATCCTGGAAATATAGATGTCACATCGTGAAACAAAAATGATATACTTATTTGTTGAAAATACCTTCCTTTAAGAAAGTAGACTAGGAAATTAGCCTGCTGGTCTGAGGAGGGCAACGTGTATAGATGATAGAAAACATCAGATTATAGAATCTTGACTGGCACAAGACAAACTAAGCAGACAAGTAGCATTATATATTTAACACCTTCACTTAGAATCTGAATGGTTTTCAGATTAAGAAAGTAACTCTGTTATTGTAGCTTGCTACTCAGGCTACCTTTGAGCCTATTGACTTTTCAGGGAAAATTGTATTTATACATCTTCAGAGTCACCAGAACCCCTAATTATACAGGTAGGGTGGCTGACTTTCCTCTAAACATCACTTTCTTGGTCAAGAGTAATGTCTGGGATAGGACGCTGAGAACCCTCTTCGAAGGCCCTCGAATAATTCACTGTTCTTATTGGGTGTGAGATATATTGTCTTCTGTATTTGAGCATAGGTTGTCTTTTGGACCACTGACATTTAAAAAGACTAAAAGATAAGAGATGTCATAGTATCAATAGAGGAAAGTAGCCACTAATATAAAATCTTTACTTCCTTCACACCTGTTTGAGTTCATCTGCAGCTGTGGTTACTCGAATGGAGTTATATACTCAATAGCAAGCCCTGTGTGTAGAAGCCTTTTCCTTGTTTCAGTTTCAGGGAAAAAGAAGAGGGTTCTTTTCCTCTTCTAGATAGACCTGTCATAATCAGCTTCTTTGGATAGCAGAGTAACTCAGTGAAGGAGAATATAATTTTTTTTTACTTTCCCAAATAATTTATCTTATTCACTTAGTGGTTAAAGATACAGACTTTGTAATCAAGTTATCTGAGTTCAGATTCTGGCTTTTCTACCTTACTAGCTGTGTGACCTTAGACAAGTCCACTTTGAGGGATAAATGAATTAATATATGCAGAATTGCTTAGAAGAATACCTAGCACGTAGTAAGCACTCAATCAATGTTAGCTATTATAATAATATAATAATTATTATAATCTTAGATTTAATGATGCACAGCTACTTAGCTTTCAAAATTCTATAACATGTTATATTAGGTATATTTAATGATGAATTATATTCATGCTTAATATATTTGCTGCTAATTATATATTTATATATAAATAGCTAAAATCATAACAAAAGGCCTCTTTTTTCTTCCTGTCCAGTACTTCCTGGTTGGGAGTATAAGATAAAGGGGTGGGGATTGGAGAAGGGTGTAAAGGAACAGGATGAAACACTTTTGATTCCTGTAGGGTAGACGAAGAGAGTCCAAGCAGATATGATATAGAAATGCAATAAAGGAATTATGTCCCAGAGGAAAATAATGAACAGCAAATGGTGGTGAGGCTAGTGGCCTAATTCCACTCCAAGGCAATCAGATCCCCACAGAAGCCCCAGCATCTGTCCAAAGAGCACCGCCCCTTGGACGGAATATGTGAGTGACGGAGTGGCCACATTACAAATGAGTGACGTTTCTTTACATGCATAGACATAGGACTAAGCAGGGAAGCCTAACTTGCTTCAACTATTAATGCTGTAGAAACTTCTGTCAATTGTCAGAGTCATCCCATTCTTCAGAAAAATCTGTTATATCAACATTTTGGTCCTAGTCCCTTATCTGCCTCAAGACCTGGGGACTGTGATGCTCTTAAAGAACGCTTTGGGACCTGGCTGGCTTCATGGTGTTTGATCAGCTGTCTGTAACCCCACCGAAACTTCTTGTGACCCAGTAAAGTGATGTTGACACCTTCAATACTCTAGCACCACCGGTGGGCAGGGGCAGTAGTTCGATCAGGGTTACCGAGTCCTACAACATTTAGCTATAATTCATAGTCCCCTGTTTTCTTTTTTGTAATTTATCAACAAGCTCAGGGGTTCTTTTCTATTTCCAAGGTTGATATTTTAATATACACACCAGAGAAGCTAAAGTGACTCAGTCACCCTTTGTACATAGATAAATATGGCAGTGACTGTTCAAACTTCAGAGATAAATGATCCCAGTGTGAATTGTCCTCTTTTTCAGGTGCTGCTGTTTTCAGCAGTGTGTCCTGGGGGCACAAGCTGATGTATTAGGCTCCAAATATTGTAGGTATTTTCTCACAGCACTCTCATGGTGATAGCATTTCTCTTTACTGGAATAGAGATGGTGTGTGCCTCTGAAGAATATGAAACTGAACATACTGAAATTTAAAGTGCAACAATTTTATTTCAGGTTCTTTTGTGACTTCCTCTATGCCTTTAATGAATCCTTAAAATACTTCAGATGGGTGGGCATGATCTGTAGCAGGGCTTCTCAAAGCGTCTTCATGAAATACTCTCTGTACAAGATACTCTGTGGGCACACACATGAATTCCATGGTAGTTTTGGAGAGTCACATTGCTGCAGTAGAACATCCAAAGCTCCTAGGAAAACTTTCATTTTAAAAAATCTGTTTTGGGCCGGCCAAGTGGCGCAATGGTTAAGAACTGGCTTGGGACGCCACAGGGCCCCGGTTCGGATCCCACATATGAGGGCCAATGACCTTGTCCTCCACAGCTAAGATGCTGAACAACAGCTCAACCTGGAGCTGGGCTGCCGTGAGTCGCCGGCGACGGCATAGGCTGCAGACCCTGTGGCAGTGGGTTGCCATGGGCTACCATGTGTAGCCAGCAGCCAGAGTGAGCAGCCAGCAGCCACAGTGAGCGGCCGTCCAGAAGCCAGCGACTAATCTGCCTCTCCTGGGAAGAGCGCAACGATGGTGCCAACTTGGACCAGTGAAGCAACGTCCTCCACAACTAGACTGAAGAACAAAAGGACAGCAACTTGTCTGTTCCCCTTCCCCCAATTCCCCAGCACTGTTCCCATCCCCCCAACTCCCCAATAAAAATCTTAAAAAAAAAATCTGTTTCATTTTTATTTTTAATTTGGAATTTCCCAAACACATTTGACCATGGAACCTCCTATAGCCATCAGAACAAGTTTTCTGCAAAACTAGTCTACAGCATATATGCGTATTTCCAGTGTAAAACAAAAATTAGCCAGCTGATAATGCTTTGCCCTTGGATTTGGGGCTATGTTGATATGAAAGGTTCTGCTATGACTGGGTAAAGGAAGCTGTTCTTCACTTACTCTGTGGCTAATGTTCATTAAAACCCTGGGAGAAGAACAAGCAGTAAGGGTATGGAGGGCATAAATCAGACGGTAAAGATAAGTAGTTAGAACTTTAATTCTTGGCCAGTTTTACTTGGTATATTAAAAATTTCAACCTTTTGTGCTTACTGCTGATCCAAGTCAAGGATTTATGAAAACCAAAAGAGTATGAGGTCATATGTTGTAATTTTCAAAGCCCGTAATTATAACCACTGCATTGCAATAGCTCAGTACCCATTCATTAATTATTAGGCTTCATTCAGATTTGTTTTCAATTAGTATCACAACAGGAAAGTTAGTTATCAGTGCTTAGGAGTTAATTAAATATTAAATCACAGCTGGCTTGAAAATTTTCATCTGGTCCATTTGTTGCGTAATAGAAATGGGAAATGTGGTAGATTACTGTCAACTCATGTTTCTATGGCGCTCTATGTTGTGTTTACTTGTCTGCATTGATGTACTTGAACTGCCATTGACGTAAGTACATTTTTTGCAACAGGAAGGTCAAAACTAGACTACACACAAATATCAGTTTGTAGGTTTATATAAGCAGAAAACATTTATTACAAGTGATTCCTTTACTTCTTTTATATTGCATTTCCCATCAGAAATCTGTTCTTATGTATTAATAAACCTTCTTCTCTTTTGCAGGACTGTTGAAAAAACTAACTACTCTAAAAGTAGATGACAATCAACTTACAATACTACCCAATACAATCGGAAAGTAAGTGCCAAAATTTCTTCCTTTCTAAAGCCAGGAACAAAAGGATATGCTGAGTTTTTTACTTCAAAACATTTTCTAGTAGAGATACTAATAATCTTGTTCATATGTAAACTTATTTCAAACCATATTTTGTTTAGTTATATGTTTGTAGATATTTTAATTTAGTTTTATATCTGCATATCACATTGACACCCAACCATATATCATGAGAAATACTTAACCATGATTCTTACATAAGTAAACTGATTACCCAGACCTTCAATTATACTACTGCCTGTAATTTTCCAGACTTTATTAATTTGATGTTTTTACTGAGTAGCAGCTCTAAATTCACTTGAATAGGTCTTACAAAATCAAATTAATTTTTATGTCTCTGCAGTATGGCTATGTTACCATTACACTATTAGTAACATTGGCTATTTATGGAAGTTTAATGTATTTTTAGAAGCTAAAGAGACAAGCATCTGATTTAGCTTGCATTTTTAAAAGCTTCAAGATGAAAGGCCATCGTTGCCTTTTAAGCATAAAATACATTCCATTTATTTGAGAGCACTGCATTTCTAATTTTATATTGGCTTTAACATTTGGTTCTCAGTTCTTTAAGAAATATATTTATTATCAGATTTTCACTGAAATGCTTTTGTTTACAACTTATGGAAAGTGATAAATCAATAAGCTGTCTTCCTTCTAAAATGATGTAAGGCCATTTTATAGGAATCTTGCTCCACATCTCAGTGTGATGAATTGTATAAACCCATAATTTAACAGATTTGGGTATACTTGGGATGGAGGTACTTGGCTTTAAAAATAAAACAGATTTATGGGGTATAATTAATGTGCAATAAACTGCATGTATTTAAAGTATACAATTCATTAAGTTTTGACATAGATGTAAAGCCTTGAAACCATCACCACAATTAAGATGTTGAAAATGTCCTTCAATCCCAAATGTTTTCTTATGCCCTTTCCTACCCCCTTCCTCACCCCAAATTGGCAAGTAACCACTGATATGGAAAACTTCACTTTCCAAGTGTAGAACAATTTGGCAAAATTAAAATTCCAATGTTCAAACTTTGGAGAGTAGTAAAAGTCTCAACCATTTTTAATATTTTAATGTCAACATGCTGTTTTGTTCTGCAGTTACTTCCGTTTTCTTAACTATAGAGATAGATTTATTTTCTTTAGGGGTACACAAAAGTGATTGTCCTTATCAGTCTGATACTTTATAAAAGTTCTTCCCATCTTACTGTATTCTTAGGCACTAATCATTTTCTTCAGATCAATACTGAATTCAATTTAATTTATCCCTACCAAGGTTATTGGTATTTTGCCACTTATGTTCACATTACTTGTATACGTTTGTGTAAACTAATTACCCTAGCTCTGTGAAAACAAATTAGAGAGGTTTAATAATCTAAAAATAGACAAAGAAAAGTTACTTTTTCAGTATGCAAGTGAATTTTATGCTAGGTTATTACATACTTAGTTTTCTTTTCATTTTAATTTTAAAAAACTGATAATTTTTTGCCCTTAAAAGTATTAAAAATGTTTATTAAAGATGAAGGGGCTTAATCAATTCAAAGGTTGATGACTGGTTCAGAGGGATAAATGTCAAGAATTTTATCATAAAAGCTTATTTTTTAGTTATTTTTCAGTGCCATTATCATCTTTTGATTATTGTTTCAGGGAAAGCAAAAGGAAGTATTTGAAGAATGGACTAATTTTTTAAAAAAGGCATTTTTCTAAGAGCAGTAGGAAGTATATGGGTAATCTCTGTAGCTCCTGCTCAATTTTTCTGTGAGCCTGAAACAGCTCTAAAAAATAAAATCTATTTAAAAAGAAGAAGGTGACTAACAAACTATGGTTATTTAGACTGGGGTATTTGGCAGATATTTTGTAAAAAATGAACAAAGCGAGCTTGACAGTTCAAGGAAAACAGCTGACAGTAATTGATTCCAATAATAAAATTTGAGCTATTAAGCAAAATTTAGAATTTTTAAAAATATGTATCTGCCCCTGTGAGCTTGACAGCTTCCCAGTACTTAAAGGCTTTTCTGATAAGGTTGATGTGATATTAATGAATATGACTTGTTGATACTGTCTTATGAAATGCATCAACATTTGGAAAATACGTAAACTCAGTGAAGCAACATTTTCCAAACGACCAATGCATGAGTTACAAAATCAGATATGGAGAAAAAACCCATTCAAAGTGCAAAATGGACCAGTTGATTTTAATGTGTTAGTATAAGGAGTAAGAAAACTTCATTGATACAGTTTCAGGTTGCACCTTGCAATTATCCCCTAAGAAACTGCCACTTGTTGAGTTTTGGTGTAGTAGCAAAAAGTAATCACAATTTTCTAAAAAGGCTTTTAAATTATCCCTTTTCCAACCACATACCTGTGTGAGGCTGGATTTTTTTTTCTTTTTACATAATTTATCAAAGCAATCAAAACTTCAACAGATTGACTTAGATAAGCAGATAAGAAAATCCAGTTACCTTTTGTTAAGCCAAACATTGAAAAGATTTGCAAAAATAAAAATAATTTCACTCTTGTCACTAAATGTTCTTGTTTTACAAATATAGTTATTTGTATAAAAACGTGTTACTTACATTAACATATGATTTTTAATTATTTAAAAAGAAATAATAAAAATTATTTTTAAAATTGCTGTTTTAATTTATAATATGGTAGATACCAATAGACATAAGGCACATAAACAGAAGTTTTTTAGAATTATCAGTGATTTTAAGAGTGTAAAGGGGACTTAGGACCAAAAATTTTGAAAATTTCTGTTCTATAGCACAGCATGGCTTGGATAGTAAAATTAGAAAAACCATTATCTAAATTATGTTCTCACTTAAAGATAGACTTACATACAAATGTTTTGTATTTGCACATATGGCAAAAAAATAAACTGAATTTCTAAAATGTTATAAATAGTATACCTCAACAGTATACCTATTATTAGAATGGATTTGTTTTCCTTAGGTAATTCAGAATTGATAGATCAAAGGTTTAGTTCAAGGGCTAGAGTTGAAATTTGATCATGATTCTGTTAAATGGCACCCCAAATCACATGCAGAAAGCATTTTGTAAATAATGGAACAGTCTGCATTTTATTATGAAACACTCTATCTAGAGTTCTGAGCACCAAAATCCTAGAAATGTTAAGACTAGCTGCAGTGACCAAAAATATTTGCATTCTGCACATAGAATGTTTCAATATGTTAGAATTATCTTTGGTAATTTTTACTAGTCCAACTATTAAAACTGCTGAAAGAATTAATTTTTCAAAATTTTACAATTGAAATAGATTCCATGACTTTTGTGCCAAATGACTTGTAAAATTGTTTATTTTTGTTGTTGAACCTTAATTTGTGCCTAGGAGTACCAGCTGTTCTAAGAATTGAATATGCAATGAGAATAATAATAAATAACTTTTTATGTGTGTGTTCACATTACACCAGACATCATGTTTGGTGCTTTACATACATTCTTATTTAGTGACAGGCCCATTAATACTATTTATTCAATGTGTATTATTATGTCTCCATCAAGAGATACAGAAACTAAGAGAAGTTACCAGATATCAAAGCTAAGCTGTTCATCGAACTATTGTATGAAACCTCTTAATGTATGTGATAGCCAAGTTACATATTTTGTAATATTTAGTCATTTAATGGGCCTCTTTGTTCTAGAGGCGAAGGAGCTTCTATAGGAAGAGAAACTTAATGCTGAATCTTCTCTCTCTTAGCTTCATGAGGTCTTGGACAAAATCAATAAAAACCCAAAAATCTAATAAATATTTTTAAAAAGCATTTCCTCCTAGAGTGTGGTCAACCAGAAAGACTGCTGGCCTGGGAATGAGAAAGTCTGTGTAGCTATACACAGCTGGGTAAGTCCCTTCTTCTCAATGGGCCTCAGACCCCTAGCGAATTCAGCAAGGAGCACTTGCTTTGGGGTAAAGAGCATGGGTGTGAACCCTGGCTACACCACTTACTGTATGAGTTTGTACAAATTATTTAAACTCTCTGTAGCTTACCTTTCTCATTTACAATTTCCACCTACACCTAAAAGTTTCCAATTCTTTGATCTAGATGTTTAGTCTATATAATGTCAAGACCCTAGCCCAGGGGTTGGCAAACTGCAGCTCGCCAGCCACATGCAGCTCTTTGGGTACGTTCTGTCTCAAAAGTTTGCCGACCCCTGGAAGAGCGAATCCTGTCCCTCACAACAGTTTAAAAATTACTCGAGAGCCATAAATATATTTTTAAATAATCACCATTATGTGAATAATATCTTTTAAAAATTTTATAAATGAAACTATGATAGTTTTATTTTCATTTTCAATTTTACTCGCAAGCCACAGTTTGCTGACCCCTGGCGGCTCTTCCGTCTCAAAAGTTTGCCGACCCCTGCCCTAGATGGTAAATTCCAATAATCTACTTATTAGATTGCTATACCAATAAGAAAATAAGTGAACTTTATTCTAGGTACCTGAATGCTAAAAACTGTACTTCCCTCTCTTCCTGAAGTGTAGAAGGATACACAAGAAACTACAAGAAACTAGACATGCACATGGCTTTGGGGAAAAGAATTGGGGGGCTGGGGAACAGAGTAAATAGGGAGATTGCTTTTATCATGTATACTCTATACTTTTTGAAGTTTGTATCATGTAATGTTATTCTAGTCAAAAAATTAAAAACAAAACACACACACACACACACACACACACACACACACACACACACCATTCAGGATAAAACCCAAATTAGTTCACACCTGATATTCAGATTTCTCCATAGTCTAATGTAAACTGGTGGCTCTCCACATGCGGTCTCCTGATCAGCAGCGTCAGCTTCAACTGGAAACTGGTTAGAAATGCAAATTCTCAGAGACAGCCCCAGATCCACTGAATCAGAAACTGGATAGTGGGTCAGTCATCTGAGTGCTAACAAGCCCTTCGGGAATTCAGGTATACACTAAAGTTTGAG